AAACCATCACTTCCTCCCTCATGACTCTTTTGCCATTGTACTTAGTCATATCCATATAATTACAATGTACATAGAGATAGTTGCTGAAGCAGGGATTTTCTCATTGCTTCATGAGCTTTGTCCTCACCTACGCTTCAATCTTCATTATCCCCTCTTTTGAATGGATAAAGAGAATTAAATTCTCCACCTTCTGTGATAATGAAAATTATTCACAATCTAAAGATGGGTACATTGCGTGAAATTGGAAATGTTTTACGTGGGAGTCCGGAACACAGTATTCTCAGCATTATTGTGGATTTTTAACACTTTAAATATGCAAAATGCAGATAAACATTTTCCAGTTAAGGGTCCTGAAATGATTGTTCCTTGACCATGACTTTGCCTAAAAACCTCACAAAAAGAACAACGGAAATCAGGAAAAGGGATTTAAAAAAAGAACCAATAATAAGTAATTCAAAGAAGTAATCATTTATAGATGAATGCATAAAAAATACATTATAAGTCAGGGTTATGAAACCCTGTGCAGGCACTTGAACTTAAATTAGATTTTTCTTTTTTTTGCTCAGACATATGTTTTCATTTTGTGAACCTTTGGTTCTCTTCTTTCTTAGATTCACCAGGCCATGGCATCATTTGAAAAAACTTTATTTCATATTTGTGAAAGTCTCTTATTCCTGCTTATTATCCCTTGTATATGTGACATGTACGCATATAAAAGGGCCTATTAGTGTCTGCATCATTTTCATTTAGTCTGCTGTCAGATCTGCTGTAATTAACTACCTATTAGTCCCCTGTGTGTCCTGTTCATACACTTTACATGGTTATGTTTTTCCAATTACTTTGAAGTTGTCCATTGTTTTTCTGTCAGTCTGTTCTCCTTCTGATTCTTGTCATTAGTTGTCTGGGTAACAAAAGATGGCTGCAGTGCATTGCTATGTTATTAAAAAAAATAGTGGTTTGTATCAGACAGCAGAGATTGTCAGAAAATTAGAAAGAGAGAGATGGAGATGAAGCCCGTGGGTAAGTGGGAACATTTGTATTGTGAAGGGGGTCATTCTCTGTGTTGTTTTTACTGCTGGAAAGTGAACACTCGCAAAACAAATGAGTAGCTGCTGTTCTGTTGTCATGGCAATGAAAATAATATAATGCAGCCCTATTGCCACAGCAGCATATTTAGAAAAGAATGATGATGATGATGACAATATTTTAAAAACATTAGCCCTAGATTCTAGTGGCTGAAAAGGAAACTTTGTTCGTTGGCTGTTGAACATTTGTGATGCACAGGATAAACTCTAGCTCAAAAGTTGCTCTGAGAAATGTGGTGTTCTGTTGTAAGCTGCACTGAATACTTGTTGCGTGTTCCAGCTTGACATCTTATGTAACCAGAATCAGGTGTTATGTGTAGGCTACCTGCTACTGGACAGATATAAATACCATGTTGTAGCGCAGGTCCAGCTGTTTAATCTCTTAGTGAAGAGCTTTGTGTGCCCTGCAGCCTGAACAATGGTGGAGTCACTGGACCTCCACTTGTTGCAGGTCCAGGGCCGGTAAATAACGATATTTTTTTTTTGTCCTCTAAAGCAGACGTGGTTTCCTCTGGAGGATTTCAAGAATCCTGAGACACAAGGCATATAACAGAGCATTTTTCTTCTTTTTTAGCTGTGCATTTGAACCCTGGGACTGTTTGCAATGTAGTTTATTTTCTCATATTGCTGGAAGTTGACCACGGCATTTACGATCACCACCCCTCCTTTGACCCTTGTTTTTCTTTGCTTCTATATCATACTGGGCCTGAGAGTCTCATACAGTAATACAGTTACATTTCTACTGTACATTCTGTTATGTAATCTGCTGTAATGTTTGGTGCTAAAGCAGCAAAGCTTTAACTTAGTTGTGTGCTTTCTTTGGTTTGCTTCTTTGTTACCTGATATAACAGAAAATTATCTCCCACTCTCCCACTAAAACATTATTAGAGAAGATGTTTCTCAACTTGCATCTTCCATATTTAATTATCGCCTGTGTAGGTTACTTCATATCTGCCCCAGGAAAGGATTAATTTCCACGACACAGCTCAATAAGCCAGTTAAAAAAAAAGGAAAATGGAAAGAGAAAAAAATTTGTGTAAGAAATAGCATGAGAAATATTCTCATTACCACCTGTAATGAGAAGCAGTGATATTATTAACTGTGAAATTAACAGTGACGAATTGATGAAAATGTTCACATTAAGTGGAATTGTATTACTTTTTTTGGGTATGATTTTTATGTTTTTTTTAACATTTCCTCTTCCGCTTTTCGTAAACTCTGTCAAATCATTTAGTGCAGTATATCACACTATCATTTGTTTTTTAAAAATCACATTTTCTTTTACTAAAAGGATTCATACCAGGTGTCACGGTTCTCCCTAAGGTGACAGGCTAACAGCAGGAAAATGGACACAATCATATCAGAGGAAATTAAAAACCCTGTGGGGCTTCAGTGCAACCAGCAGGCTAATATCTTCAGAGCTAGTGTTAATTAAATGATTAGATTTTAATGCTATTTTGGCAAATATGACCAAAGAATGTTATTTTAATGAGTGTGAGTAGGCCCCAAAAGACCATATTATAAAACACTACAACCCCTTAGCCAAAAATATACTTATTCCAAAGTGCATTTTCAGATAACGGACATTTAGAGCAAACATTACCAGGATAGTCATTCAACACAAATGTCTTTTGAGCAGCAGCACATTACAAATGTTACTTACTTATAAGTTCCCCTTCAATTTAAAATACAGTAGTTTTTTTCAGACAGAGCAGACGAGACTGTGGAAGAGAGGTGAAGAATAGAGTACAGGCAGGATGGAACAGCTGGAGAAAAGTGTCAGGAGTGATCTGTGACAGAAGAGTGTCAGCTAAGGTGAAGGGAAAGGTTTACAGGACAGTGGTGAGACCAGCCATGATGTATGGTTTAGAGACAGTAGCAATAGGCAGAAGACAGGAGGAGGAGCTGGAGGTGGCAGAGTTAAAGATGCTAAGATTCTCTTTAGGAGTGACAAGAATGGACAGGGTCAGGAATGAGGTCATTAGAGGGACAACACAGACAGGAAGGTTTGGAGAAAAAGCTAGAGAAGCCAGATTGAGATGGTTTGGACATGTGCAGAGGAGGGACAGTGGATACATTGGTAGAAGAATGTTAGAGATGGAGCTACCAGGTAGGAGACAAAGAGGAAGGCCAAAGAGGAGATATATGGATGCAGTGAGGGAGGACATGCAGAGAGTTGGAATCAGAGTAGAAGATGCAGAGAACAGGGAGAGATGGAAATCAATGATTCACTGTGGCAACCCCTGAAAAAAGGGACAAAGGCGAAAGAAAAAGACGTTTTTTTCAGACAGTCAACTCGTAATAGTGAGTTCCCGTTCTTCTCATGTAGAATATCAGGGTCCTTTTGTACATAATGACAAGGTAATACAACTTGTGATGGTAATATTGTTGTCTCATCGCTGATATTTCCAAACAAAAATGTGGTGATTATTATTCAGCTATGAAACATTTGCAGTAGCTTCCCACTTTTAATTTTACACTTTTTTGTTATGATCTAATAGGCATATTGTTTTGATAAGTATTAAAACTAGACTTTTTACAGTTTTTTAGACTAGTAATTCCAACACCAGTTTCAGAAACCTTTCTTTAAAAACAAGGTCTTTTTTTACTGCAGCAGGGAGTGGGAAAATAACCTAATATATTTTCTTAAAATAACTTTGCCCACCGCTTCCTCGCAACACAGGCTTGACATTGTAAACAAAAGGGTGCTAGGGCACATTAATGTGCCATAAGAAATTATCCAAGTTTGTTCAATCGGTCGGAAAAATATAATTTATTTCTGCAACAAAAATGTCTTCAGTCGTCTTAGCAACAGTGAGAGGCCGAACAAGAAAATACTAAAAAATCTGTGAAAGAGTGAGCTGTTGAAGAAGATCTCTGTGCGTGACTTTCTTCAATTCCTGTGGGTATTTCTGCCTTATGTTTAAGTTAACAGGCCTTGGTTTTAAACTAGTAAATTACTGGTTTAAATTGGAACTAGATAATCATTATAGTTAATCACTTATGCTTTTGAGACTAGGACTGCCAAAGGCTAGTGTCTCATCCTGGGTATTCTTTTGTGTCCTAACCTTGCAGCCCTAGCCTCTAAGAGAGGAAGCATCCTCCATTTTTCTTTCACAGTTGATGCCGACAGGCTTGTGAACGACAACAATCAATCTTATTAAATAAGTGGTTTATCAAATAATCATATAAGCACTCTATGAGCACCTTTGTTGCAATGTGCCACAGATGCAAAAGAGTCTCTCCATTGCATCAAGTTAGCTGTGTGTCAGATATAATATAAAAGTGTGTGAAGTGAACAGAGCCTCTCCCATATACCCAGCCTGTGGTTTCCTTACTTCCTCCACCACGTCTCCTCTCTTCTGGCCCTCCATCTCTCTGTTGATATCGTCTCCATCCAGCTGTCCTCCCCAGAGGCAGACACCATCCTTATGATGCACCACACTTGGCATGTATATCCCCTGGTTATTCAGCAGAAAGCAAAGCAGGCTGTTCACATGATTGATGAGCAAATGGGGTTTTAATTCAGTTACTCAGCCATTATCCCCCAGGGTATATCTGCACGTCAGCCTTATTTGGAAACCGTCTGATTGGGAACAATGAGAAAGTTAAAGATGATTTTTTTTTACCCAGTTGACAGTTTGTTTAGGTGATAATATCACAGATAAATTGCTTGTTTATGTAGATTCACATTGTTGAGGTCAATAGGCCTATTTTTATTTTATTTATTTTTATATACCTGGTTACAATTCACATCTTTCTCTTTAACTTTTTTATATTGTGATAATATTGGATTATGGCAAAAGTAAGTTTTACTTTTTAAGAATGTGATTTATGTTGTTAAATGACAGGTATGGTATGGAAACACAGGTAAAAGTTAATCACTTCATAATTAAGGCATATTTTTGATGTCTGGAGGAAAAAAGGAGATCATTTGTGTAATTTTGTTGATTGCTTAGTTGATTGAAAACAAATAATAATTTTCAGCTTTAAACAAAATCAATGCTGTGGTTTCACAGCTTTAGGTAGAACCCTCAGTCACTAACCCTAACCCTGAAATCGTTGTTTCAGGGTAAGATGGTGAAGGGCATGGGAGGAGCTATGGATTTGGTGGCCAGTGCTGGAACAAAGGTGGTGGTCACCATGGAACACTCAGCTAAGGTATGAAAAGTAAACATATTTGTACTATTGTATATCTGCCGCCCTGTCTGTTCTTACCCAAAAGTGATCTAGCTCAATTTAATCCATTAGTTTCCTCATACAGGTTGTTGCCTTCGCTGCATCTGCTTCCATGATGATGACGTGTTCCATGAGTGATTATAATGATGATTGTTTTAATTGTTTGCTAAATGTGACTGTAACAGCAAGACTTTTTCTAATGAGATTCTTCACAAAACAGTTTCCTGTTGACTCATCGTTAACTTATTTTGAATTGAGTGCCAGGATGGAACCTGTTTTTCCAGGAACAGCTCATTTATTGAATCCATGTTCTGTGGACCTTGACATTAGGGACCTGTTTAACTGTGAGAAATACTAACTTTTTCACTGCTTTATATTCATTATGATTCTGCATATATGTATATATACTGTATATATACCGTAAATACTATGTACTATCCTGTCAATGCCGTTTATATGAACTCAATGGATATATGTATATTTTACTGTGGATGTTTACGGAGGAAGGCATTCATTTCTCATTTTGACTTAGGATTAATCTGTGCTGAAAACATTGTAGACAATTTTACACAATTGTTTTCAAAATCCTCTTCTGCTTCAGGGAGGAAAACACAAAATTTTGGACAAATGCAGTCTGCCTTTGACGGGCAAACAGTGCGTGGATCGTATTATCACAGAAAAGGTAAGTTAATTCTATATATTAATATCTTTGTGTCCAAGAAAAAAAAAATCACAAGATAGATTCATGTTGGACACGATGTATGTGTAACTAATCTGATTTCTCTTCATGTTTAATACTTAATATTTAAAGGTAAAAATAAAAGTAAAGTTTTTTAAAGTATATACAGTTTTTGACAACACGACATGTGGAAAGACTAAAATGCCAAGGCTGGACACAAGTGTGCTCTGAATACTCAGACCTTATACATGGAACACATCTTTGTGTGTCTACTTCACTATCACTCTGTACCCTTACTAAGTCGCTCCAAGCCGGCTCTACGACCTTTTCAATGGGCACACAGTGAGCTCTCCAGTCTGCCCTCTAGCACTGCTCTATCAGCTTTTGGTACTTAGCCTGCTTGCTTTCATTAGCCTCCTGGCTGCACCTCCCCAGGGAACAGTTAGTTCAGTGAGAAGCACCTGCTTGTAGAGGTCGAGGCCAGTGCAAAGTAACGTTTGACAAATTAGTTAATAATCCCAAAACTGCAGGGATTACTGTAATTCTGTAGACGTGTATGATTTACCAGAATTAAATAATAAAATACCCCTGAGGGTGAAAAGTAAATATTACAGTAATATAATAAGGCTGAATGTACTTTATGGGCTTGTACCAGAGGATCTTGGTTCAGTTATGGTCAAATTGTCAAATAGTCTTATCTTGAAGTTCAAGTGAATCCCTTGTGCAGTGTTACTGTATGTCCCAGCACACATTTCTATGCACTGTAGTTTAACTATTGCCTCTGTACAGTAATGACGTTGGTTATTCAGTTATAGTTTTATTTTCTGATTTCTCTTTAAAAAATTAAATGGTCACTAAGTAAAGCTGTAAATGTCATCACTTTTTGTATTTTCTGCTCTTGCACAGGGATTTAACACACCACTGTTATTTGTGTTTTTTCTGTTTTCAATTGCCCTCATTTTAGATTTGACAGTTCAGCTCATGTGACAACAGTAATTGTCACTGGAAGTTTACATTTATACACTACGTTTTGTTATTTATCTAGACTGTGTGTATGCAGAAATATATTTTATTTTTATTTTTTTTCAGACCAATTTTGAAATTAATTTTACGTTACTGCCTCTGGATGCAAATGTCTGGAATATTGTATATGTTATTTTAAAAGGACGCTAGCTATATTAGGTAGTTTAATTTTTTTTTTCTCTTACAGCAGCAGTAGTGAATTTGAATATGATCTAAGTATAAAGTGTTTACTGACCAACAATAAACCGATTGCTGTTTTTTTTATATCACGTTTACATTTAAAGCCTCTTTTCTAATTGTCTTCAATATTTAATCAAGTGTCAGATAACTGTGTTGTTAAGTTCAGTTGGTAGTGGATCTGTTTTTCTGTTTACATTATACTACAGCCTTGGCTCTCTGATTTTATGAGCAAATTAAATTAAAGCACACACAAATGTTTTCTAAAATAAGCAGAGAAAAAACATAAAGTCCACACCCTCTATTTTCCGTAAACACACACACGCACACACATCCATGCATGCAAACTGACTGTGCCCTAAATGGAAACTACTTTGATTTTATCAACACTAATTGAATCTGTTGATTCTGAAAGGAAGATAGCTATTGATTTATTTTCCATGAGTGGGTTTGGGTTTCATTTGTCATTATTTTCAAATTTTTCTTCTTGGATGATAATATAATTATATACATTTTTATGCATCTTAGATCAAATATTGTGCAGGTGACAAAGCGCTGAAATTATTTGAGATATTTTTCGTATTAAGTAAATGATGATAAATAATATATGAATAGAATAGAAGTGAGCGGTTTAGGTGACTTATCCAGCCTGGTGGACAGTGTAATGATGATGTCCACTTTCTTCTCTGTCTTTTTCCATTCTTTACTGTTACCCTCTGGTGGCAATCACCTTTAAAGTCACTCATTAAAAACATGACCTGTCCAAGTCCCACCGTGTGTCTACTGCACAAACTGCTCACCATCCCCCAACCTGCCCCGTTCTCTTCTGCTCTGCTGACTTGTGTTGTGATTGCACAACATTTCCCAGCAAGCAGATTTCTGTCAACACTTATAAAGGTTGAAGCTCATTTGATGCCCTGCAAACTCCGCCCCCTCCTCCTCTTACCCCCACAATGATGTGTGTATGTATATACACTGTGTATATATAGATTTATATTTATGTGTGTGCGTGCTTGTGCGTGTGTGTGTGTGTTTGAAGCAAACCAGAACCCCAAACTTCTTCTTTCCTTTGTAAATTCCAGTCCAATATAGCCAATTGCCAGTGGCAGGTTATAGATTTTCTTGTGATCTGTTTATCGATATGTTGAATCTGGAAAACAGAGCAGCCGTCTGCTCCGCTAACATCTGTGTGCATGACAGCTGCAGCGACAGGAAAATTAGCTAACTGTAAAATCAATGAACACTTTCATTTACCAGTCCATGAGGTCTCTTGCAGAAATGCCACGGCTCCCACAGTCGACAAGAACAAATGACCATATTACAACACACCGTTGCTTACAGTGAGACAGGAAGAAACTGTGGGGTTAAAACAAAACATTAACTATTTAAACATCAACAAACACTATAATAGCGCTGTTCTAAATCGCACCGCTGGGATTCGATTTCGACTGCTCTTGGGAACATGTTGCCTTGGGCGTTGACTTCATTTTGTTGGATTATTTTATAAATTATATTGTGTTTTCTTCTGTCTGAAACACAGTTTTGTATGTTAGTTGTGTGACTATAAGAAAACAGGCTCAGCCACTGTGGCACTGATGTTACCTTGACTTTACAAAAACAAAGTAAAAAAAAAACAAACACCCTAAACTGTGATTGTTTATTTTATTCTACAACAATGACTTGTGTGGTAGGTTTTTGATCAAAAGAAAGAAGACAGTAAAAAAGTCTAAGACTATAAACTGACGTTTGAAGCCTTTGTTTAAGTGTAATAACCTTCTTCCAGTTCCATTTGTCAAACGCTCTGTCGGCTGCTGCTTTTATATTGTTGCATACAATTTAGCTGAACAGATGGAATAGACTGGCTGTTTCCTTAATGACAAAACCTGAATCTGTTTAGTTAACAGTGCTTATGTTCCTTTTTTTAACTCTCATTGAAGTGTGGAAAGTTAATTGCCCTTAAGTTTATTTATTTCCGCAGATCTTTTTGTGTAAAGAGAATATCGATCCTGTCTCTGCATCGACTTGGGACAACGCCTGTCATAATTGAAGGCTGTCACTGCACCTATATTCTCCACCTCTGGCACATTCTGACATGTCATTAGATTTTCCTTAATCATTTGTGACATTTGTCACAATTAGGAATGCATGTCAGTGTCTGTGTTATCCGTAGACCCTTGTCCCTCGTGACATTCCATCTGTCTTGATATATTGGAGTGAGATATCTGCCTCCTGCCCTGTCAGTGTGTGCGAGGTTCTAATGAGCTCAGAGTCCTGACAGGCTGTGCCTGGATGTGATTGTGGCTTGTCCTTTC